TACACAAAGGAAGGAATAACTTCATGTATTACATTTGCTGCATTGACAAGAATTTCTCGTAGACAGATTGTCTACCCTAACTCAACAACTCAGACAACCTTGCCTTAAAATGTTGTAAGGCAGAGACGATTTGCCGCCACCTCAAATTACTAGCACACGTTTTGCTTTGGATGACAGAGATCTGATCTCAATGAGGATAATGCATTAAAAATACCAGGTGTAAATGCAACGGTAAGATGGCATTGTTTATTATCTGGATAAGGTGTCAGTATAGAGGTTGCATTTTAATACCAGGTATAAATGTGGTGCTCACACATGATCAATGGTCCTCCGTCGAGCCACAAAAATTCTGCTTAAATTGATCTCAGTGAGAACAGGAAGCAATTTGATCAGCGGAAAACTGATTTCAATATTTAACCATTTATCTCTAGACTGTCAACACGGGACAAGACTGTAATGGATTTGGACCAACGTGGTTCGATCAGTTACCAGATTACTTTTAGTGCACAGCCACTGTACGCTGCTTAAAACCACTTCAGCATGCAAGGTTCAGCCATTTAGTCTCAGTCTTTTGGTAAGCAGTTCCTTAGTATTCATCAGCCAAAAGGTCAGCTCAACAATAGTCATCATTGACTAACCAATTCAAACCATGCTTAAGCTAAAGGGTTTCCAGTAGATTTGTAGAAAGATGGTGACAGAGATAGAAAACACCCATCCTTGATGTTTTGGGCCAGTCAAGCCAAGCAACAAAATATATAGACATGCCATTCATTAATATCACTTGCAGCAGACGGGTGAGGATGTGTGCCGTAACACTTACTAGCACCAGTAAAGCCAGGGGCTGCCGATGCTTGCATGGCCTCCCTTCTATAGTCCCTGTCTTTGGGGAAACTGTTGACAACCGCAGTCTTTGTTGCCTCTTTTTGCCTCTGTTCTCTGTGAAACATACAAGCATGCATGCAAACAGATGTTACCCACATATCCAACCGTTATGTGACACGGATTACAATAATGTGTGTTTTATCAAATGGATTATAGTTACCTCTCCAGCCATTCTTTGGGCTTCTCCCACTGGGACACCTCTGTCCTGCAGTTGTAATAGTATTTCTTTCCAGATGAGCTGATGTGCTCCGACCAATCGTCCCCAGGTTCATAAGGCTGAGATAAAGAGAAAATATTTAGGAACATGAGGCCAGCCAGACAGAAGCTAGTTGTGTGCGTGTGTCTCTGTTGAGGAGATCTGATGCAAGAGCTTGTAATGTGATGTGAAATGTACGAGAGATATTGGGGATGGCAGATAGCTATAGCTGAGCTGTTTTAACAGAGGCTTTTTAAGTGGGAGGGAATTCAGAGACAAGATTGTTAAGGTAACCAAAGTGAAACAGTTTGCTGTTAAGAAAGGTCCACTGTATTGTGACTGATGATTTCTGCTTGTTTCCTGCATTCTGTTACCATTTAACACTGTAATCCTGTGCCTCCATCGCCTTATAATGTCCCAATTTCATTTTGTAATTTAGGTCAATATTGTAAAGCAAACGCAGAGAATAAAAACAGTTAATTATTGTTTATACATTACTGAAACTGTAAATAACTTTACATAAACACTGTAACTGTAATGTAACTGATTCTGCTCTATGATATTCAACACTGTTAAAGAGCACATTTGATCACAGCATCAGATCTTTGTTCTTGGTGGTGCAGTTCTTAACATGTTTCACATTAGCACTGTAATGTAACTTTGCCTTCTTTGTCACATATGCTGACTAAACAGCATTACTTGGGAATTACTTTCTTCCCCAATTAACATTAAGCATGTGAGGGTAAGGGGAGAACAAAAAACACGAGTTATGAATTTTGGCTTAAGAACGTAAAAACAGAACATTAAAGGATGGGAAACAAAATGAGCAGAAAACTTAAATCATTCTCGAAAAGTTCTTTAATCTACATTAATAACCAAAAAGTCTAACTTTTAATTAGAGAGGAAATGAAAAGAGAACAATGTAAGCCCAATGATCGTCTGCCACTGAATGATGTTTCAGGGTTTTCATTCCACAATATGAAGTAGTGAAATGTTCCTAGATTTTATCTTCGCTTTCAAAGCAGTGGTGTGTTACATTTTAATGAATGTTTTTCATATTTACGTAAAAAGTACAACAAAACCAAAAACATCAAAGCTGTGAAACTACAGAACAGAAGCTAGCACCAAGAAACGGTCCTGGAAAAAATATGTTTAGTCCATCTTTAAGGCAGAGGTAACACTTACTGTGTCTGAGGTCTTGCTGGGGTTAGAATGTGAGTTGGAGCTATGAAGGGAACTGTGGTTGTGAGAATTTTCTTGTGGTGAATAACTGGTCCCTGCAACAAAACACAAGGAGTGGGAAAGACACCATCAGTAACAGACATTAACAATATTGTGCCAAATTCATAGACATAGCTGAAAAGCCTGGCTGAGAACTACAACAAAATGCACACACCAACCCGAGGACATCAATGCTCACTGTTGCCTCAGAAAAATCAAAGAAAAAAGGTGGTCAAATATTAAATGGCTTTAACTTTGAGACACATGCACAAGCCATAATAAATATTGCTGTTGGTTTTGGCCCTCAACTTGTGACACGGCTGCGACAACCTGTTTTAGTTCTCCAAAGCTCTAAATCAGCTGTTTGTGGAGTCTTGATGACAGCAATGATGACAGCAATGATGACAATATATTCGCCCTTGCGTCTGTGTTCTACGGCTACACTGGAAACCGCAGTATACTGTGTCTCACTGTAGCTAAACCATCAAGCTGTATGGCAACTCCATTAATGTAACACCGTTACTCAAACGTGTTGCTACACCTGTTTGTCTAACAAAGATTCTCTGTCCACTAAGTACTAAGCTGCTTCCTAAAATTCTGATATGAAAACACAGCCAACACTACTACAAGTGTGGCAATAAGGTGGCAAGACTGAACTTGCTTTTGCTCATCCCATCTTCTCACCTCTACTATTATTAGATGCTACAAGTGTTAGCACTTCAGGATATTTGGACATTTGTAACATTTTTTAGATTGCTTTGGTGGTATAATTATATGTCAGTGAGGCAAACCACGACAAGGAAGGCAAGCTTGAAATAAAAGCCTCCGGTGACAAGGTTTTCTTACATACAACAGAAGGTGAGGAGAGATACACTGAGCACCATACGCAGCCATCTATGGCAGTCTGTACATACACAACCACCTGCAACAATCAGTGGCAGGTCCAACAGGGGTAAATAAATGCTTTAGCTTGTAAACTGTGGCTTGGTATTAGAATTTCATATTCCTGCAGCTAGACAATGAGAAACAACATACAGGCGATAAAAGCTGACTGGTATCACAGTTGGAGAAACTGTTTTGCAATTTTGTTGAAATAAAAATACTAGATAACAGATATAAAAACATAACTGAAGCTGATAGTTAAAATTAAAATTCAGTTTCTTTTCTATTTTTTAAGCTTCAAGAGTCTGTCCCACACTACCAAAAATCAGATCAACATCACATTAATAACAAAACCTTTACCCCAGGTACATAATGATTCCCACTACTGTGCACTGATGGAAGGCACTGATAACTTTGATTACTTGTTCTCACCATCCAAAACCTTGTTCAGAACAGCACAATCTAACATCTGGGAATTCAGTAGCTGTTACAGCTCCAAACAGTGTTTCCTTAAGGCATGTTTCCAAACTGTGAGAGTCACTGCTCAGATAGTATTGTGTGCTTTGGATGAATCACAATTAATCCAGTCACTTCTTTGTTACATTTAATCCTAATGACCTTCGTTATTTTCATCTGCTGCTTTAGGATGTCACATTAGATACACTGTGCTCTATGTAACACTTAATACCAAGGACATGCACTTTACTCATATTGTCAATACACTGTAGAGTGGGTGTTGAACCCCCCCCCTCCCACACACACACTGATGCCTACAAGCTCTCACACCTGCTTCATTAATCCTTGTTTTTAAAGTAATATTCAGGATGTTTTGAACTTGAGTTTCCTTATGTAGTGGTGTTTAGGGCTACCCAAACAGAAAGATGACGATTCCAGTCATCAGTCAAGAAGATCACGAGTCGACTCGCATTTTGTCAGTCAAATCAATGCACTTTTGTTTTTTAATCTGCGTCACTGTCCACAAAGCAATGCAAGAGCAACAGCATAGCTAGCTGGAATCTTTACAAAGTGAGAGTCACAATGACCACAAACCACAAAACTAACTGTAATAAAAGCGGAAACGGGCGATAGAAACAGAGGGCAGTGCGACTCCAGTCTGTTGGCTGCTCTGGGGCACTCTGCGGCACTCTGCTTCAGTGATGACTGTCAGTGAAGTCGGCTAAAGCACTTTTCAACCAGACGATGGTACATCCTCCTCCAGTACCATCCACTGTGACTGACTCTCTGGCTGACAGCGCTGTCAGCTGCCCGGCAGAACAGACCGTTTATAACTGAACTATGAGCAGGACGGACACTTTTACTTTCTCTATCTCTACATTGGTTACATCGCAAGAAGCAAACCACAGACAATGCACAATGGAGAGGTACTTTATACCGTATGATAAAACATTCAAATTAAAATATTACCTATTTGTCTTGATAACTTAAGTGGGCAAATTCAAAACTAAGTGGGTAAACTCAACCTTTTTTCACCTGTTTCTAAAAAATGTAAAATAGACCAGTAAAATGAACCCGTTATTATCTATATCGACTGAAATTCAACATATTATAGTCACAGTTTTTTCAACTACATCGCCCAGCACTAATGACAGAAGACAAAGAATGGCAAAATGTGAGTCTTGCAGGTAAAACATTAGACTCGTGTAAGCTGATATCAGTTTAGTGTGGCAGTGAACTCAAACAAAAAAAAGTCAAGATAGGTGGAAGGAAAAATAGTCAAATCTTCATATTGAACAGCCAAATATGATCTTACTGACAAAACTGAGTCGGATACAACCCAAGTAGTGTTTGAGTTTTAATGACAGGAGTTAATTAGCAAGGGTAGCATTTTGCAGGTATGTTCAAAGTAAGGTTGTTCAAATCACGTTCACAAGTCTTCAAAATGACATTCCTCCCTCCATATACTCTGCGCTATCCAACAGAGGCTTCCCCAGAAGGAAACTGGTTTGAGGAGGTGGTAAGCATGCCTCAAAATATTTGAGACCAGTTATGAAACTGTTACATTGATGTTGATTAAGTACCAATATGATATGCATAAAAGGTTTAACTAGAAAATTCTTTTGAAATTGATGCGATAGGACATGCTACATTATTTCTCGAGAAAGAGTCACCACTTTATTGGTATTACTTAACTACAAAAACACACAGTTCACTCGAAACTGCACAGTGGTGTTGAGTGATGAGTCTTATCTCTCACAATCATCCTGCTGAGTACAGAAAGCTACATGCAGCGAACACATCAAACTGACAGCAGCCAAAATTCCCATATTAACCATTATAGAATGAACTTTAATTAGCAACAGCTGATATTCAACTACTGCCTGTGAAGTCTGTCATTTTAACTGCCGAAAGTGACAGGCAGAGCCAGCTAAAACTGAGAAGCCTGCCACCTGAATGTTTTCTGCATTGCTCTTGGCTAAAACTCAATCATAAGAGAATCATTATCCTGTGAGCTTGAAGAGTTCAGGTATTTTACCAAGCAGTGAAATTAAAATGGAACCAGCTATTGTAACTCACCACTAATGGGGTTACTGGATGACAGTTTGAACATTTGAATCAAAAAATGTATTCATTCTTTCTGAGGTGCTCTACATCTCGGCGAGGTAGGGCACCTCTACAATAAACAGCTACGTAAAACCCTGCAACATATAACGATATATTTGAATCTAACAAAAAGTTTAGCATAACACTGGACCTCAAGGAAAATGGAACATCCTTACTTACTAATTAGTTACATACAACAGTAATGCGAGTACTGAGACTATTAGACATACATGTATGGAAACAGTTGCTAAAATTTTTCCTCCCGCTGTCAACCAGATACCAGGCGGTCATACGGCGATGGAAATGTATATACACACAAACTTTGAACATTATTATTTAGCCAAATAATGACAAAGTCACTACAGGAATGTAATATATTTGAAGTATATCAAAAAGTGAGAAATACACACAGGAACACCCTAATACAGAGATCCAGAGAGAAAGAGTGAAACAGAAGATCAAACGTGTACCACATGCCACACCTACAGTCTGCTGGCACAAGAGGAGAGGTAGAGACCCCGATGCAGTGGATAGTGATTACTCTGAGCACCATGCATGGGGATGAATTACAATACATTTAAATATAGTTCTCGATGGTCTGAATAAGCGGCAACATTTGTTGCGAATAATAATTTCATTTGTAATAATACATTTCTCTACTGGCCCCCAGAATTGTCCCGGACACTGTAACTTAGAGTGCCAGGTGCTTTTTTTTTATTTTATTTTGAGCGCTGACATCTGCTGCAGAATCATGAGTAATATATGATTACATTTGCAGTCAGCTCATTAGCAACAAAACAGATGTTTTTTTCCAGGTGCAAAATTACAAGAGATAGTTTATAATAAACTATACATTTCCCCAGTGGCATTAAATATCAGTTATAGGATCAAAACCAATAAAGACCTCTTTCCTGTAGCTGAAATCAAAACAGACTTTCTTTACAAAACAGCTTTTGATTGAACCTTTTTACACCATGCAGAACTCCGTTAATAACAGGAAACAGCACTCTAAAGGGCAACATACACATTGGCAGGTATGATGTGCATCAAAAGGTCCACATTCATTGTTTTTTATGTAAGCCCGCAGACTGGTGGCATTTTTACAAGTGTGAACATTTCACTGTCCTATTTGTCATTTCACTGTCCTATTTGTCAGTGTCCATACAGCAGCCATTTTTTTATGTTTGCTTCCTAAAATTGGCACATTCCAGCTACAGTACTCAATGATTACTGTGATTCTCTATAGTGTGTCTAGTCTGTGCTGTGTGATGCTGCTGATGGTTGTTATTGCATTCTGCATTAGAATATATTTTTTGTAAATTATTTAAATTTTCATGTAAAACTTATGTGCTAAAAGTGTTAAAGAAAACAAACATTACTCAGAGCAGTCCAATAAGCCTTCTCAAATAAGCCTAGAATTTGAGACTGTAATTAATAGAACCAGTGCAGGATCAGAAAAATCACTCTTACTAAACAGCACCCAACATCGTTTTCCCTCGCTGATCATCGTACCAACTTGTGCATCTCCCCTGTTGAGCCTGCTAGTATGCTCCCAGCTTAGACTGTGCCTGTGATCCGATAGCATTTAATAAACACTTTCAATTCCCACATCAAACATAATTTGGTTTAGCTGTCAACATTTGCAAGTAAGTTAAGTTATAAATAACTAAAATTACACAGACTCGGTTAAGATCTGAAGCCACCTTTCATCTGAGAAACCATATATTTTCTTTTTGGGCGTTAGCCTATAATGTTTACAACTTGTAGCTACAACTATGAGGTGAGCACCATCGGTTGACATGAAGTGATGAGCTAAATCGTTTCAAGCTGCAATATGACTAAACTCCTCAATAAGCTCAACATCCCACACACTGACACATGATTTTGCGATTTTTATAATGAACCTGCTATGCTTGTTTACACGTCTAGCAGACACAGAACAATGTTAACATTCATTTGGAGTCGAGTTTCTGGCCACTGGATAAATGTAAATTGATTTATTTACTCTCCTTTCAGCTCTGTTTTGGTTTTCACTAGGGATGGGCGTGAGTACTCCTCTGGACATCGGTATTCGTTCAGCATTGTAAGTACTCACATTAGGTCTGCACATGCACAGCTGCAGACAGAAGGGTGACCAGTAGACTCAACGAACGTGCAGTGGAAGCTATGCAATAGCAAACTTGAATTGAGTAAAGGCAAAAACAGCAAATCTTCAATCGCTTCATTTGTTAACGTTTGCGGTGTTTCCAAACACCATTGTGATGCTACCATGGCAAAGATTAGCTGGCCCGTGACACAACGGGTAACTGGAGATATATTAGCTATAGCCTACGGGCCAAGAAGGCTGCAGATGGAAAAAGTAAACCAGCCGCTGCTTTTTTTTTTTAAACCAGCCAAATAACGGTCAGCTAATCCCTACAGTCTCTGTGCAGTGCAGAAACACCAACATTTTCACTTGGGTGTTCATTTCATGCAAGACCCTAGTTTTACATGCCTAGGTTTTTTTTTTTAACCAAATGCTCGAATGTGAAAATGACTTAAAGTTCCAATGCCTAGGTTTTTTTTTTATCAACTCTTGAAAAATATTAGCTGGGTCTACAGGTGTTAAATGCTAGTCGCAGCTGTCTGCTGTTTGGTGCTGAGCAGGTAGTACACAGTGGGTTCATCAGAGCGTGGCTGGTGAGAACAGCTGCTTGCTGTGTCTGGAAACAAGGCTTATGACAGAGGTGAGACTGAATCCAAATGGTAAAGTTTGGCCAGAAAACCAAAACAGTGAGCTGGAAGATGCAAAACCACTGCAGAGCTAAGCAGGATGGCAGAGTTGGGCAATTATTCTCAGTAGGTTTGTCACTACAAGCACCACCTTTCACATTACAGATAGTCATTTGACCTATTGTACATAGAAAGGTGCTGATTAGTGCAGCTTTAAGTTGCCATCCCATTATTTCAAATCTAATATCTACTTCCTTTTATTTTACAAGTTGCAAATAAGAACGTTAATACTGATCTGAATCAGTGAGTCATCTGTTCACAGTTTTGACTCAGCACAGCTTTGTAACCAGCTGGTTAATCTTGGGAGATGACGGTACATCTTTCTGTAGGTTAACAGTCATCCAATGTGTTCTGTGTTTTGCTACATACATTTATCATCGTATCAGCACTGCTTCCACCTATATTCTTCTTTTCATCAGCATCTGTCCATTATTTATATTCATCATGTGTTAAAATTCTGTAAAAGACCACTTTGCTATCTAAATCGAAATGACCTGCAAGGTTATTACACACCAAGCAGACATAAAAAAAACTCAGTTTGATGCCATTTACAACAAAAAGCAATGAGTTCCAGGGTAAATGGCTATTGTCTATGATAGCAGAAGACAGCTGAAATAATTTAACCTCTTACTTTGGAACTGTTTTTCAACTGTCCGTGTCTAAAGCCTGCGATACCAGTTCAATCTCAAATATCTCAAAATAAAATGCAACACTGTCTCGCAGAATCTGTACACAAATTCCAGTGACTATTTGTGGTCATCAGGGTCATAGTTTCAACTCACCATCTACAAATGAACCCACCCCACTGGCAACATCTCAACCAGTCCTCTCCGTCAGTGAGGGAAACCTTGTAAAACTGTATGTGCTGCTGGTTCGTAGTAGATAAATATTGCACACAGAGCAGCGACTGCTGCAGATCAACTTCAGTCTTCCAAATGTTTCACTTTGAAAAACCGGCTACACAAAACATTATGTTTGCAAACTCAACTCTGGCAGCTCAACACAATGCTCTTATGCAATGCTCCATGTTGCAATAATGCTTTTTCATACACCAAAATTATACCACATGCATGGATCAAAATGCTTTTTAATACATTTTTGAGAAATGGAGAAATGTGTGTTTCCTTTCATTTCTCTTGAAATAAGAAAATATTGCAAGACTTAAATCTACAACAACATTTAAATCGACCCCCCTATATACGAATTTCCACTTTCCATCCCTAAAGATTCCCTTTTCAAACCTGGGGAAAATGTACTTTTGATATAATGTTAGTGACACCCTAAACAAAGCAAAGACACTTATTCCCCCCGACAACATATTCCGTTCAACACACGAATGCTTGGTGTCTATTAGAATTCAAATATATTTGCACAACATCTAGATTTGTGGTTACTGTTATAGAAACAGCAATGACTGTTCAATCAGCTGAGGTTTACCCGATTGGTAAAAATAATACGCTTCTTGATTAAATAGAAAGTTGGTCGGTTGCTACTTACTTTTGTAAGTTCATATATTTTAGGCATGTCTTGTTGAAAACTACAACAGCCACAATACTTTCTACTTCCTGACATAAATAAGCCTAAAGCAAGCTGTACTGCCTGCAGAGTACCAAGCTGCTGAATTTTAGTGTTGAATGTTACTGGATTGTGTGACATTAGCAATAAAAGTAAAATATCTGTGCTCTAAACCCATTTTATTCTCATTAACCACGGCCTCTCACCTCCATCCCTGTCTCTGGCCCGGTGTGTGTGGACAGCCTTTGCTCTGCTGTGCCCTGTGCTGTCCATGTGTTTGTTTTCAGGGCTGTCAGACCTCCTGAGCATTTTACAAGGAGGGGTGACATCTGAGGAGTCTCGCATCTTTTCATGTCGGTGGTCACCTCCTGGATGGCTCTTAGATGAGTATTTGAGAGTCTGTGGACACAAATCAAAAACCTCACTGCAACCTATTATCTTGTGCGTACAGTCATCAGTAGGTCTCTCAAACACGATGTTAGGCTGTTCCAAGCACTGCAGTGTCAGCATACTACAGCATCAAAGTTTGAGTATAACAGGAATTCATTTGCAGAGCTAATCTCCATTCATGCAGCCAATTATGTATTATTTGAAAGCAGCTCTATCTCTGTCAGTTCTTTCCAGTGCTACATTACTAAGTAGCCATATTAGCTATGCTAGTATGGCTGTTGACTAGTTTCTCACTTGGTAACGATGTGTTTATGTATAATGACAGATGTATCATTTGTGATAATGACGAAGTAAACAACATTTTATGAGACCAACTATTACCAGCCATCGGTTTGGCTTATTGACTGTATTTAGAATTTAATTGTTAATGCATTGCTTGGCAGTATATAATTAGAACACTTTGATGTTTCGAGAGCTTAGCTAGCTGTATCATTAAAATGACAGACTGCGGTCAGGCCCTAATCGGACTGGCTAGCAAGATAGCTAACAGTAACAGGCTACCATTAGCTCTGAGCTGTAATAAAACTCGCCTGTACCTTTTATAGAACAGCTCAATTCGACGAATACATCCCGTCTGTGTTTTCTTTACCTGACTATATATACGTTAGCAAATATTTGCAGTGCTCAGGCTGCAATTTCAAACAAAATCATTTACTTTTCACTTTATTTTCCGCACTGACTGGGGCCTGTTGTGCTCAGCAGAAGCCTGAACTAGAGTGTCCATTTTAATCTTATTTGCTGCTAGCAAGCTAGCAGGCTACGGTTAGCTAACAAGTACCTGATAGGGCTGAGAATCTCTTCGGTCGCACCTGCAAATAGAAAGAAAACAGTTGTTAATATTAAGCTTCAAATGTCAACGTTGAGAGAGAGAGTTGCAAGTGTTGCAACAGCTGAACCTGCAAGTTTCCAGACACTTATTTTGGTTTCAATAAAAATGGCGGATTGTCAAAGCGTAGCTAACGTTACGAGGAAAAGGAAAATCTGAATAAGTAACGTTAAAAAGCTGTTTACCCATCGCCGAGTCTCGGTTGTTTCCTTGCATACATTACCATCAATGCCGTGTTAGTGTGTTTGGAGTGGGATGTGAAAGACTGATAACGGTACTATGTTTTTCTTGTTGATTCAGCGACCTGAAATCGTCAATTATTTCAGCCTAGCTTGTGGGTATTTCAATGCTATCGGCAGCACTGGTCGAAGAGCGCCCTCACTCAGTCCATCTCCCACTCACACACAGCCGCGACTCCGTCTGCCGAGAGACAACGTAGCGCTGGAGCTGCGCGCACGGTTGCCAGATATTCAGCAGTGGGGGGGAAGCCTTCATATCAACGGTACCTGTGGACAGTGCCATGTAATCATTATGTCATGTTACCAACGTGATGTGCTGTTGTTTGCTGGTTTAACTTCATAAATATATGGATTTTTTTTTAATTTTAGTTAACTACTACTTAGACTAATATATATAAAGCACATTTAAATACGCAGTGCTTTTGGAACATACACATTTAGGAGGAATTAAATATAAAAAAACCACGCTCAGGTGTCATGAGTTTAATTTTGCTAAAGGTGCCTCTGCGAGATTGAGTATTTGGGAAATACCAATCAAACACGTTTGACTAGTGGGGTTATTCTACAGATCTGGCAACCTTGCCTGCAATCCCCCCCCACCATTCTCCACCTCCTCCTTCCGATGGCAACATCCGGGACACACACTGGCTAGAGTCGAGCAGTCTTTAAAAACTTTAAAACTTTTTTCCGTGCTGTAAATAAATAGTAATTTTCTACCTTTCTCAACCATTAGCATATTTTATACAGGTAGTCCATTAGCATTAAGGGCTGTAGATATCCTGTTTTATAAGACCTTACAGACTTATAGTGAGCAGTGATTTGTTTTCTCCTGACATCTAGTGGTTATTCTGTGACATCGCAGGCAGGGTTTATCAAGATATCACAATAACAATAAATCCCTATACACCCATGTGGGGTTTTAATCTAAGCTGTAATAACTTTTGAACTAGATAGGATCAACCAAAACGATAACATGATTACTGCAGCTACATTCATTAGGGCACAATTGCACGTTTCACATTATAAATAACTGTTGTATTTAGATAGATAGATAGATAGATAAGATAGGATAGAATACTTATTCGATCCCAAGCTGGGAAATTGCAGTGTAGCAGCACCATTACACACAGTAACAACACAATAAGTAAAGAGAACAACCTACAAATATATTAAAAAAGCAATATAAAATGCAAAATTTATAAAATAATTTATTTATACATTTTCATTTTAATATTCACGTTTTGACAGAAAAAAGTTCTGCACACTGCATTGTGGTTAAAGACAACAGTTATATTATAATACACCAATATAATATAAAGTATATCTGAGAATAAGCAGTAGAAATACACATGCTCGTAGTATAATGATCATTTGCAAGTCCACACTAAGGCCTTTGAAATAAAACAGTGTTTGCATGCAGAGCACTCTCTTTACATTTTGTGGCTTTGACCAGGTTGTATTAATGCTTCAGAGTGAGTAGCTGTCAGAGGAGGGCTGCTCGGCTCCATTGTTCCCAGACAATATATCCCACATCATATCCCAGGCTTAGGACAAAAGAAGCTGCGGTTCAGCGTTTTGGCACACAGCACACTTTAATGTGGGGACAAGGGGGCACAAAAGGGGGTGCTGCTATTGTTAGCACATTTCTGGAACTTGTTCACACACAGACAGGCACACACACCTACACACACACACACACACACAGACACACACACACATACAGACACACAGTGTTTTGTGAATTTGTATGCTCACTCTTACAAAAAGGTAAAATGCCTTGTGTTTTCAGGTGTAAAATAATTAGTTTGGTGCATTTAATAAAAAATAAAAAATAAAGAGTCCGTGCATGTGGGATTTCCCAGGATCATTGGTCAGTAGGAGTACACACAGTTGATTGTGATTTTAGAGAACACTGGTCTAACTACTAATCTATTGATTCTATCGATTTTATGACACCTTTTATTTCTTTTTTAGAAGAATCTTTTAGCAGTCTTTCACAAAGTGCCTTTTCTGGTCTTTGACTACTTGTTGCTTTCTGTCTTAACGTGACCTGTAGGGGGAGGTATCAAACCACTTTTATATCTCTGGCATTAAAGCCACACAACTCACCCAAGTGATTCCCACTTACATTAATTGCCCACTCCTAAATTAAACAAATTAAATTAAAAAAATATATAGTCATGTTAAGGATAAGCCTATTACAACTATTTACAAAAATACAGCTGTATAAAATATTGTTTATCTCTATACCGGGGTATAAAAACTGACACATCTTAATAAACATAAAATTATATGAAGTGTGAGGGTGCATTGGAAAAATGCAAAGCAAAAAAATAAAAAATAAAAAAAAAATAAATAAATAAAATAAAAAAACAAGCCAAGATATTTGGCATAAATGATTTGCAGATGTAAATTATTTTACAATTGGGGAACAGATTTGTAGACAGCCAAAGCTTAATATAAGCCAACAGAAGTGCAAGTGCAGTGAGTTGAGTCTGATATTAGGGGCTGTGTGGCCCAACAGGTATACAGTTAATAGGATATTAATTTGACACAGATACAATTTATGTTAGAATTCACTGGCCTCACTGATGGTAATGATTTAACCGAAATAACCTTCCCTTTGCAATAAAACGGCGATTCACAATCGTCTCCCGTTTTGTTTTGTTTCTTATAAATGTTTATTTCTGTCTGTTACTATTTCTCATGCTGTCTAAGTGCGGTTGTTTTGTTTTCTCCTGTCGGCGGAGAGGCGAATTTACGACGGAGGAGTGGGCTGATTATTGACAATACCACAAGCCAATAAAAATACAGAACTGAACCCCTGACCGCGCCTTATTGGTAACACTGACCAATGAACGAGCAGACTGGGCGGACTCTGTGCGAAAGCCCTGCACGTCGCAGATCTCAGAACAGCTCGGTGCCGTCACACATCCACCCGCTAACGTAGAGTCTAAACAAACAAACCGCTTCCAAGTCAGCGCCTTGACAGACCGCTCTGTGTGTCTTGGAGAGTGGCACAGCCGAGGCGTAACATTTTGAAAGGTTGTGTTCAGTGGACAGCCACTGAGAGCGGGGATGATTTAAGGAGATTCGGAGGAGCAAATCTCGGTTTCTAAAGTGGAAAATATTAAAAACAAGTGAAAAGTTTTGTTTTCGAAGCAACCACTGGAGTACACTGTGACCAGCAAGAAACCATTCAACTCCGACCCCCGATGCTAAGTGAGTACCAACATATTGTATCTCGCTAAAAACTTATCTTCACAAGTCAAGCCGATGAAAACAAAAATTGCAGTTCGAGTGGGAATTATCGAAATAAAAATACCCTAAAATATAGTTAAAGCTTTGAGGGGGAATACAGAAGCTCCAGCTGTAACGCAACTACTCACCTAATGACAGAGCAGTATTACCGGACTCGGTTTGTGTGGTACTCCTAACCTAACAACGAACTGTTGCTAACCTTTAGCTGGGTGCATGATATAAAAGTAACCTTTAACCATTGCTCAAACTGTTTTTACTTAACAGAACAACCAACCCCACGCTCCCTCTAAGAATTCCTGCACACCCAAACGTGTAACTCCCCACTCGTCTGACTGTATGGTGCTGTTGGTTTCAGTGCACTTTCACCTGACATCCTCTCCTGTGGAATGTTTCGGTGGGAGAGTGAGTGTAGCTTCAGTGCAGAGCTAACAGAGTTTCACTATGACACGCTGCGGCAGCAATGGCACCAGCGCAAGAGCTCGAGCAGAAGTAAATAACAGTGTATGCTAACATATTCACAAAACATAATGGCAACATTTCCTCGTGACACAGCCCTCAACTTCCACGTAACACACACACACACACACGCCCGCCCTAAACGGAGTCCCTACTCTCCAGGAAGTAGCCTGGCCGGAGGGAATACAGAGCCCTTGTGCCCCGGCGAAGTCAAGTGCGGTGACACGGAGCTTGTCACTGGCTGATAGCGCCAAGCCTCTGAGCTGGCAGCCCACCGGGAGACTCAGCACTTGGCCAGCTGCCATTACATCCCAGCTCAGCCATTTGTTCTGCATACTCTAAATGTGTTATAATGTTATAATGACACGGGTTGTTTTTGTCTTGCACTGTTCTTTCTTAACCATTATTGCTTGAGGGTCTGCCATGATATGAATGAGCTCTTGTCACAGGATACAGTGGGTACACAAAAATGCCTCATAGCCCCCCCTCAAAAGCCATAATACCATATGTTTCTTGATGTGGTAAAAAATCAGTGAGATCCAAGATGTCAGTAGTAATTTCTTGAAAATGGAAATGCCATCATTTTGCATTCCAGTGAGTCATTTGTTCCCCTTAACAGAGTCTGCATACTTCTTGAATGCACACATGGCGGTCATTCAGCAGAAGCGCAGTAGTTGTCTAGGCGCTGGAAAAAACACTTCATTCAGATGTAAAACTGCTTGTGTAAATAGGTTAGAGGAGCATCTTTACAGGTAAAGTGAATCACCTGAGAAGCAGCAGAGCTGCGTTTATTGTACAGCATAGACCTTCAACATTTGAAACCTCACTGCTTGCTTGCCAGGTACAGTTTCAGTTAATGTTGTTTCTCGTGGGTCTCCTCATCACTCTACGGTGGGCTGGCTGTGAGAAAAAGAGACAGTAAGAGGGTGACCTTCTTCCCATTGTATTTGAATGCCACAGAGGGGGATCTCTAGAGAGCCGACATTTCTTCGTGTAAACTCAGAAACCTCAATGGTTAGTGTGCAGTTTTGGCCAGCCCCCCAGTGCTCTCACTGGGAATAGCCTAGTTCCTCTTTTAAATCTTGCCTAGAAAAAGTGGGAGTCCTTTAGTTTCTCAGGAGACTTTGATGATAAGTATTTTAGTTGCTCTGGCTTGTACTGTTTATGAGGTCAGCAGCTTAACATCGTGACAAGTGTGTGACGGCCTCATTGTGCTGTGGTGAACGGGCTCACAGACTCTGTAATAAAGGGACTGATGGCATCCTTGGAGGGAAGAGCAGCAGAGGTTTGCCACCTGGTTGTGTGAGTGCCTGTGACATGAAAACAGATACTTGTTTCTCGATGTTTGCGCCCACAGTGTGTACGGAGGCAGCCGAGGTCAGGGCGGGGTCGGATGCAGCGGCTCAGACGAGACCCAGCGTAGCAGCCTTTGCCCTCTGTTGGTTGTCTGAACAGGTGTCTCCGGAGGGAGGTGTGGGAACTAAGAATGCTATGCGTGCAAGACTCAACTCCCAGAATTCATCCGAGCAACCTGCTGATTGAGACAAATGCTTCCTGTCGTTGCAACCAGCCCGGCTTGGGTTGATGAGAAACCTGTCAGCAGCCCATTGCGCTGTTCATGGCCGGGGACAAAGCCCAGAGTTGGCTTCCACAACTGCTTGTCAGCAGCAGGGCTATTTTCTTGGGGCTTAAGGGTGGGTAGGATACAGTCGTTTAAGACTCTTAATCCAAGCATTAGTTTGGATCGCTATCAGCTCACTCAAATCACCGGTGGCGGACGCGTTCGACCGTGCAAACACAGCCTGCCGCTTTCATTCCTTCGACCACCTTCTTGAAAAGGTCGGTGTCGCGATCTTTGCGCTTTCGTACTGTTTAAAAGTAGCTGTGTTTCTCCTTCTGATCACTAATGTGGGCTTTTCTTTAGTGCATGCATCTCTGTCTTAGCCTTGCAAACTGTTGGATTGGAAACAGGCGAGAGGGTGTGTGACGCAAAATGTGGTTGAACCCCCAAATGAGACGCATATTCCGATAGTGCTGTCTACATATCCAAAGGACGCTGCTAAAGCCTGAATAATCTCAGCATCATCCCGCGTCTGAATCGGAAATTGCTCCGTTCGGAATAAGGTCTAATTTGGAATACACAAAAGGAATAAGCTCTTTACATGATAGGTTATATTTGGAAGGAGAGGGGGAAAGTCGTGTGCATGTAAACCAACGTGACTTCCTTGAATACAGAATTCCATTTTTGATCCAGAGAGAATGCTGTCATTCTGGTGCTGAGGTGAAGCAAATGACAGACGCTGCCAAAGAATGTAAAGAGAGCGTGTCAGATAGTTTTGGCTTCCCTGAATGGCGACTGTGTTTCAGCAGCGTTAGCTTGTACTTCTCTGCCTCTTCATCAGGCGTTGAGTGGTTTCTCAGCTCAGCTCTCTGAGCGCTGCCTCCTGACATTTTGAGGTGAACCTACTTTATTACCAGCCATTGCTAAACTTGGCATCAAATGAAATATGAATACAAGCATGTTGCTGCAGTAGATTAATCCAGTCTGTAACCAGACTGATGAAAACATTTTAATACTCTGCATATGTATATTTGTCTGAGGTCTTAAATGTCATATCTTTCCATGATTACACTTGTGCAGAGTGTTGCAGGCCTTGTTGTGCAACTGACGACTAAAAAGTGATAAGATTATGAAAGCAATCTTCCAGGAACGAGAGGAATCTGCTGTCAGTGGAGGAGTTAAAGCTTTATTCAGTCCTCCTTGGTCTATCACTCACTGAATTATGGTTGTGTGATATTGAGCAGTCACTCTAACCATCCCTACATCCACGGACATAGCTTCCATTCATCTCTGTTCTTTCATTCATTCTTTCACTCACTCATCCAACCACCTATTTCCCCCTCATTCCATTCGTCCATCTATTTATCCACCCATCGTGTTGTGCATGCATAATCACCATCTTACTCCATGGTATCACTAATCTCCAATGGAGTTTTGAGCCTCCTGCCGCTCTGCTGATCGCAGACGGAGAGATTAAAGAGCTGTACTTGGCAGGGGTCTGGCAGGGTCGCAGTTGACCACCACCACCAGTAGTGATGCTGTGTTGTTTTGCCCCTGCCTGCCTTACAGAGGTGTAGGGTGTCTCTCAGCACCCCCAAAGTCTCTGCGGTGCTGTGCAGGAATGAGCCCACCCAGCAGATGCCAGCCATCAGACACCTGCGTTGGCTTCAGTATATTCCAGCTCCAGGGCTGTGCTCACCGCGCAGGCATGCTGCCCTCCTCACTCACTGCACACTGTCTTTTGATGGAGAAAGCACAGAGGCTGAGTGAACGGCGGTAGCATTAATAAATGTACTGGGTGTGGGAAAACAAGACCCCAGACCCTCAGGGAGAAGGTTAAGTTATAATATGTTACTGTATATAGGTCTAGACATGAGGGGTTGCAGTGCAGGGTTTTGTTTTGGGATGCTATTTCATTCCTGTTTTAAGACTTGCACTATTAAGAGGTGCAAAGCTCCAGTTGCAAAGTACAGTGGTCTTCTTATTCAGCTACATCTGTAGCCTGACTCCATGGTCAGCATAAAGCCTTGGGCTAACAGGAACTTACCACAAGCTATAGCTGTGGGAATACTGTATACACAAAATACCTCCATCATAATCTTGCAGATTCGATGTTTGTGGGGTTTTGTAAGTCCATTATTTAAAGCTAAAACATTGTTTGAAAAGGAACTGCTGCACCATCACGTGGAGGCGTGCAGTCTGTAACAGCTTGTAACCAATTTGTCAGTCGTCAGTGAAGGATATAGCCTTACATAGCGAGGCAGTGGGCTCACTTGACTGACGTCAAGCTTATTTGTCAGATGTTGTTTTATTTATGAGGGTTTTCCATGCATGGCCCCTGCCTAGCATTACTATGCCTATTCCCCTTATGGCAGCCCTGTGAATAATTCAACATAGTTGGAGTGAACAGAACCAAAATAGGCCAAAGTGTGTACTGTGGCTCCGTCCAGTAAATCACAGCAACCGCAAAGGAGTTGTGTAGTTGTAGTTTATGTTAGTATTGCATGCTGATGGAAAATGGACGTAAGGACTGAATCAATGTCAAGTATGTAAACAAGTGCAGTAGATTTGAAGAGAGGGCACCGGACAGGGTATTACTTGCCATATTTGCCACTTGACCTCACAGCTCCAAGTTAGCACCATCAGCATTAGAGGATCTATGTCACGATGCTATATTAATGGACCATGAGGTTGGAATATTCATGTAGCTTGTGTTGATATTTGGAGTGCCTGGGGAGCTTGGTTACCATACACCGGTCCTGTGACATGTTTTCCTTCGTTGTCTTGATTTCTAAAGATGACAGCGACAGTAACTTGACCACGCGACACAAGACACTGTAATTCATCTAAGCGTAATGAGAACGCACACGTTTCACGCCGATATCACCACCATCTGCTCCTTGCTTGTTGCTGAGAGCGACTTAGCTTATAGATGAACGCAACTGTTTCTGTCACAAACTAGGCTTGTGCGATGTGTTAATATTTTCCAACCAGCCACGGCCAGACCAACAGCCGGCGATTGCTGCTATATTTGCACGTACGTGTGGTGTGTTTGCTGCGCCACACAATAAACTCAAATAATATCAAGCAAATGTTGTAACGCCTATTTCCTTCATTAAACAGCAAAATGCAAACAAGTTTCTCTGTTTGACCGAACAAAGACCTTGCTGAGTCATCGGAAAACACACTCCATGGTTCCAACCATTCGCAACCGAGTTAGATGTGAAAATATGCCGGCTCTACACGCAGTCGCTGCCTCTCTGATGCCCTACCTCCCTCTTGCTCCTCTCCCACTTGACGCTTCTCCTGTCCCGACTGCGTCTTTGTTGTCCCCGGAGTCAGAGTCCTGGTTGGAGCCCCTGTACATCACCTTGTTACTGTATTCCCTGTCGTCAAACTGGTCAAAATGAACTCTTTAATTCACAGAGTCAGATGTGACAGTGTTCTGGCTCTACAGCTGTTTTTCCTCTCACGTGTACTTCAGTTCCTCCTGTTCTTCGGAGGCAGACCTGGAAATGAGCAAAATCAAATCACAGAAATCACCAACAAAAAAAAACAAAACATTGGTGATGTACAAGTTGCCTTTTGTCCAAGCACCCTACCACAAACATTGCAATTCTTTAGAAGAGCAGTCACATGTTCTAGAGGATAAGGTCATATTAAAAGTAAGTTTGAACCATATAAGCGGTCTGCTCCTGTCCTCTACTGCTTTGCGCTCAGGGATTGCCTCCTCGTAAGGGATCCTACTTTCAGTACATGACTCCTCTTGGCTTCCTAGCTGCAGTCACATAATGATTGATATCAAACGCAATAAAGAGAGAGAGCACAGATGGTCCAGTGTTGCTTGCCTCTCTGGTCATGTTCTCCTTGTAAACGTAATGTCATTTACCCACATTTACTCAGCCGATGATGGCACAATTAAACCATGTTTCATTTCCAGGTGCCACTCAAGATATCTATTCCACCATTGACCTTGCTGCAGAACAAGCATTGATTTGATGACTGGCAGGAGACAGGGGGAAGAAACAGGGGAGTGGCACGCGGGGTTCTTTGTGACGGTGGGTGGGGTCAGTTGGCAGAGACTCTTTCCAGACAGCAACACTGGTTTTCACGGCCTAAATTCCCCCTTTGTGTGTGTGGGCGTCTCAAGTAGTGTCAGCTGTAGCTCTGTACACTTGTCGCTGTGTCTCCTGCCACCTCCCTCTTGGGACAGGCCCCACGAGGCTGGATTTTCATTTGCCCGTTAACGTCCCTGCTGGCCCCCTTGTTTGCCTCTCGACTAAACTCCACAACACGTAAATGTTTGATCGGCAAAAAGAGGTCCGTGTGTTCGTGTGTGTGTGTGTGTGAATGCACGCTTTTGTCTCTCGACCTGAAAGCATGTTCTCAAGCTCCTGCGGGTATGTTTGTGTGCGCATGCATCGGACAGGCATTCATTCTCCTTTAGTCCACTTGGCCCAGTCTCCGTGTATTCCCAAGTCGCTCATTGAGGGCAATTACATCAATTTAACTGTGAATACCCCCTCACAACAGCCTATTAGGACCATTAACTATGCAATCTTCGCTCTTTGATGGCTTAGCCCACGTGATATAAACTATTCAATCTGGTTGATGGCAGACAAGGGCATAGCATTGTGAGCTATCTAAACCAATGGGACTCTGTGCCCTGTACACCATATTCTGTTTAAAATTCATCTTCCCCCGTTAGTGCATATGTAAGTAATGGCTAACAGGCAGGTCAAGTATCCAAGTAATTCAGTTGTTACTGAAGTGACTGAGTAATAAGTATTAATAATATTTTTCTCAGATCAGGTGAAAAGAATAAGATTAAAAATGTGGTTGCAGAGAAAGTTTAATAGACTGCAGCTTAAGAAAACACAAGCAGATGGACTGAACCTAGTTTTTTTATCTGCCATATAATCAACTGTGCTACAAATACAGAAAACAGTAAGAACTTAGAACACAACAGCAATTTCCAGCTGAAATGAAAGGAGAAATAACATGTTCCTCTTAAAAATGAGAAGTTAAATTCATTGAGTGATCTCATCGCCTTTTGGATAAGCTAGCGAAACCATAAACTAAAAAGGCCTTTATTAAGCCAATCTTCGCCTTAACCACTAGATTAAACCCACAGGAGACCTCACAACTTTACTTCTTCTTCTTTTTAAGACTTCCCTGCAGATTTTCAATTGACTTTTACCTGAC